TAAAATCTATTAAAGCATTTCACATGCAGTGACCCTCTTTTGTTAGCAGCTTGGATAATGCCATGATTCAGTAATCTGGTGGTGTATTAACTGTGCCTCCAAAAGCCTTTTTTGCCCACATACTTCCTCTTCCAGCCATGAGTCACATCAGTTTTACATTGGTGTGTGGTGAGCAAGAGTTACCTTGTTCGGCGCGCACACAAAGCAAAAGCTCCAGTTAAGTGTGACCATGAAAAGCAAATGATGTTTTACAGCCTGGAGTTGATAGATAGCATCTGCTTTGTTGTTGTTACCCAACAGCAAAAAGGACAAGCCTGTACCTGTGAGGGATGATGAGGGATGTGTGTGTGTGTGTGTTGTGTAACGTGGTCGGTGTTTTTGGGTGTAAAGTCGAACAATCTTCACAGGGTGTCTAAGCTCACCTTGATGCCCTTGCTTTCATTCCCTAAGAGAATAGTGTGTGTGTGTGTGTGTGTGTGTGTGTGTGTGTGTGTGTGTGTGTGTGTGTGTGTATGTCATTTGTGTGTCCACTACACTACAGATGAATAATGTATGACATTCAGCTGTGTTTGCACGTTGGGCAACACCCACATAATCAAGATGAGAAAGAAAGACAAAGACAGACAGAGAGAGGCGATGAATGCAACACAAACACATGAACCGCGCTAAAATTATTTTTAATGAAGCTCCCAGAAAATTAGTTCGCCTGCACGCAGTGAAAGAACAAGTGTACACAGCTGTCCTTCTTCACGACACAGGAGGAATTTCATCCACACTGCTGCCAGGAACTGTCATAATTATATCTGACGTGTTCTGTTCAGTGTGGCCATGCGGCTCTGCTGCTGACAATGTGTGTATATGGACACCTGGTGCAACACAGTGTAATGATACCTATAGTAAGTCTAGCCAGACTGGGTGAAAGGATCTATTGTTACTCAGATGTTCAAGCATTTGTTCACTTCATTCAAAAGCCTTTAATTGCCACATTCAGCAAGAGTAATCATTCGCAATAAAAATAAATACAGAATTTTTCTGGCAACCACCTGTCAGCTAATGATTCTGAAAATTACTTGTGGTGTTTGGGCCTTTTTTCAGCCCTGCTGTAATTTGAAAATAAAGGGGATTTAGATGAACATAATGTCATGATACCTACCTGGAGTGGAAGACAGAGTGGACACTTTTACTGTAATCTTTTCATTCCTGCAAAACCTGTGTTTCACTGAAAGCCTTTGTTCATGCTTGCATTCATGTGAATGGATATCTAAGGCAAAATAACATCTTTTACAATTCTTTACAATGGAAAAAAAACACGCATGCACATACAAAAATGAGCATACACTCAGACACACACATAAGTACCAGTATCATCAATTATTATCAAGTAATCATGGTAATCTGAGTCTTCAAGTGGAGAGAAGAAAAAAAGAGATAAAGACATAAAATCTGGGTTGCACATGGCACAGACATGACAAAGTGAGGGAGAGAAAAAGGCCATCAGAGCTCAGGGATGAAGATGAAGACACAGACAGATAGGAGGCAAAAAAATTGGTAGCTTGACAGTCATTTCATATTAATACTCTACATTAAGAGCCCCTATGATGAATAATTAATCTGCTGGAAAATGTAGTGACTTGTGGTCCTGGCTGGCTAATGCATTGTAAAGTAAAGCCTTGTCAATGTTGCTATGAATGCACACAGCATAAGTTTACACAGCATAAATGTAGTATTATAGATTTGGATAAGTGAGCTTGATTTTTAGCTTAATAAAAAAAACAGCTTGTGCATGGCTTCATAATGTAAAGATAAAATTACATCTTTGACTGCACCAGCCTCAGCTGTACATAATCACAGGTTATCTATCTGACAATGCAGCGTGTAATCTTCTGCGCCAGTGCGAAGCGTGGCGAGAGAAATTGAACTGTATTGCTCTGACTGTGTAGTGACTCAGCTCACATTTTAATATACATTCCCAGATAGAAGAGTGACACTCTTGAATCTGGTTGGTCCCAGCTGGAGTGTTGTGCCTTCTGCCTGCTGTCTGTCAGTCTGCTGACTGTCAAAACCCACAGTATATACAATATGCCAGGCTGGTGCCTGTCACTATACTTCCTTCGTGCATTCAAGGCCCACCAGCAGAGGCTATATAGAATCAGAGCATGTCACACGTATATTGATAGGAGTGATGTTAGTTTTGACTGTGAATGTGAGCCTGTTTGTTGATGTAGCTTTGCACAACAGTTGTTCTCCCCACAAGCGATGCCCAATCACTTTTACCACATAACCTCAGTTGCACTCATGTTTATTTCAGAGGTCCCACATATTGCAACATAACTTTTGTTAGACAATAAAATGCTACACTTTCTCTGCTCTCTGTTTATCTTTCCTCCATCTTTACCCATCTGGATTATTTCCCATCTCTCCCTGCCTTGCTCTCTGTCTCTGTTATGTCTCCCTCCTCTTAGAGAACCCTCTTAGAATAAACATGGCCAGGGGTAGTTTCAAAGTTTATTTCACTTTCTGACTCCATCAAAACAAAGAGCTTTTGTTTACTTATTTATACTTTCATCATTTGTTTCAGATATCATTTGTGTAATAGGCCTCATTGTATCCTGTGTGCACCTCGGTTGAAATTCAGGATTTATCAACAAAGTGAGTGCAAATGTGATTCCATGTTTGTGTGGTACATACTGTGTTTTCATGTGCAAGTTTCTATCATTTGGAGTGACGCTCTGTGTGTGTGTGCATTGGTGCTAATGTCTGCATCTATTTGTGTATGTGGACGTGTTTGAGACTAGAGCTGAAATGCATAAAGAAATCCAATAAATCATTCATATACTTTTGGGACATACTATGAAAATGAGTGTATGATGAAACAAGTGAACAAATCTCTCTTTCGCCACATCGAGCCTCTCTCAGTTACCTTATGTAACCTTGCTTACACCATCCCAACAGGTAATGAGTGATGTTAGGGTCCTAAATTCAAAGTTACAAAGGACACTCTTAAGAAGTCTGTGGCAATCAAGACTTATCTAGGTGATGGACCCTGTTATGAAGTGCCCACAATGCAGACTTCTCTGTTTCCATGGAGACCTATTGTGATCCCCGGCATCCACTGTGCTCGCAAACATTTGTCAGAAGCCTTTTTTTTTTTTTGTCTAAACAAACATGCTTGTGGATAGTTGCCAAACTTGGCGTGAGGGGTCAAAGGTGATCTCATCTTCAGCGCTACCATGATGCTGGGCTCAAACAACATTACTGCTGGCTTCTGGCTGCCTGCCTGAGCAAACTGTGCCATCACTCGGCCATGCAATAAGGAGTCAGTGGAGAACTGAGCTAATTTTAGGTGCAGCAATATGTAGACCAGGTGTAATGCACATGGCCTACCTAGGCAGCTCTGTTTAGCTGTGTATTAATTCAGCAGTGTTGGACTTGGATAGACCTTTGGAGAAGCTGAAGCAATAGCCCACATACTTACATACCAGTGTCTAATCCCATTCTGGCTTGCTTTTTTGTTGGCAGCAATGCCTGCTAAAGCTTTGTTTTCTCTATATAAACATACCAAAAGCTGTCCGTCTTTTCTGGTAATACCGTAACACAGTTGTAGACAGAAGGAGGGACAAACATTTCTTTTTTACCCCCGTTTAACAGTTTGGTTAACTGTTATTCAGATGTGATGTTCCAGTTTATTAACGTGCAGTATTCTGTAAACATCTCTCCTGATGCCTCAGGGCTCACGCTCGTTTCACCGGTTGTTCAGGAAGTTTTATCTGAGCTGAAATCCACGAACACAGCAAAGGGAGAAAAATCATCTTTACTGCTTCCAAAAAAAAAAAAAAAAATGGTATTCATGTTGCATTCAGGCAGTGTTCGGAACTTGCAATTCCCAGTTGATAAAAAAGACTACCAGATGGGTCTATTGCAATTACTTTTTTTTTGTATGCACTGCAAAGGCCTGCTCATTTATTCATGTATTACACAGGAGAAAGCTTTGAGTTTCACTAACTTGGAGCTTTTTGGATTCTGTCCTTACCCAATAGCAGCACTCTTTTCTCAGCTTCACACCAAAGGAGTATTATCTCATTGTGCTATTTTCTGTCTCCCTGCAAACTCCCATTCACCCAGTCTATATTGAGAACCTCCTAATAATGCAGCAGAGTCGTGCAAATCAATAAATCTGTGCATATGATCTGAATCAAAGAAAGGTGAAACTTGCAACTTGCTACTTCCCCTGGAAGGTGAACTGTAATATGTTTGGGCTGGGTGGGAAAAAAGTGTTTGTTCTGATACAGTTCCCAAGCAGAGTGGCACCTCATTATGTTGACTGCCAGAAGTGCGTATGGCAGTGTGAGGAAGGGGAAAACAGGCGGTGGGAGTGATAGAAAAATTTCTTCCTATGACACAGAGACTGCTGAGTAAATTATGCATGAGAAGGTGACTTTTGTGATCAACACAAGACAAGTAAACACCATCAATGAAAAGCCTGTGCTTAATATGCAGTAGGCCTATAATTTGATTTTGTGCCATAATGATTCATGCCAGCCTCACAGGGTTGTTAGACTTTACCCTGCGAATAAAACAGCTGAGAAAAGTGGTAGTTTAAGAGGCCTAATTACCCTCCACTTCACTTCACCTATTCAAACCATCAACGTCTTGTCCTAGATTTTAAATTCAGAAACGCAGATTTGGCCTCTCCCGTATAGTGCATGGTGTCCCACACTGCCGGGGCGTGGTCATTGGGAGGGGGTGGGGGCAGACAGCACGCTGATAAGTTTTCAAACTGCAGGACAAACAGAGGCAGGAAACAGGGAAGTCAGTGTGAAAGGGGAACGGCGCTGGACTGTTTCTTTCTGAGACCAGATCAAAGCATTTGTCAGACAGATTTTAAATGAGCACGCCAGTGTTTGAACTCTTGAGTAAAGTAGCTTTTTTTGGGCTGTTAAGTCGAAGGATTTTGTGCGTATTTTAGTGCTGTGAACTAGGACACACTCGCTCAGGTGTATTGGTAGTTGTATTGATTAATCTGATTTATTGTGTCAGCGCACAAAGCCTTGTCTGCCTCATCTACAGCGCCCGCCCACTGGGCTTTCTGCGGAGCGATAGTGGGGGACTGATTACAGTCTCCGGGATTTGCCGTGGAGAAAGCCGGAGCCTGCCTGGACTGCGATTTGCTCTCCCATCAGTGAAGGGGAGGGAAATTAGCAAGGACTTATTCCAGTCTGACTCCATAGCGCCAGGACTTTCAGATCCCCTGTGTACATTTAGTCTCCCGTCTTAAATCAGGTGGCCTGTCCGGATACGCGCAAGTCGCGCTGGACTTTTGTCTTTCACCGAGGAGGGTGAATCGCCTCCGCAGTCTCGGATGCGTAAACGGGGAGTGGGTTGGGTCGCCTAGGCGCCTGGCAGAGCCTACGCACACGTCGTCAGCGATAAGAGCAGATAGGTGAGGGTGAAAGCGAGGGGAAGCACCACCCGAGGTTTTCTTAAGCAGGAGGACGCCGGAGAGGTGAGTCGGACACTGGCAAACCGCCGGTCTCACCGGCGGTGGATTTGACTCTCAGGACAAACCCTGGCTGTTTTTGTCGCCCGGGATTCGTAGACCTTCTTCTTTTTCTTCTTCTTCCTGATTCAGAACCAGCGGATAACCACAACAAACCCGACAACCCCAAGACATCGCCTCCTCATCTTAGGGGAATATTGGAAGTGAATCTGCGGGGCAACACACAATGGCAGCCGGTGCGCTCCTTTTAGCTTGTGCGCTGCTTGGTAAGTCATCTGAAGAGGCTGTCAGCCTGAATTTCTGCAGTGAAATTTTCCCCGTCTGTTTTTTTAATTTATTTTTTTATTAACGAGGTAAATCGGCATCTGCTGGCTCTCAGTCACGGCACACCTGTATGAGACATGTGGATTTGAACGGGTCTGTTGCGAGAGCAACTACTAGTCATCATGAGTCAGGTGAAAGTAGGCTGCATTGATAATCACTGCAATAATAACAGATGCCTGTGAACAGCTGTGTGTGTGTGTGTGTGTGTGTGTGTGTGTGCGCGCGCGCGCGCGCTGAACTAGGTTAATGTGATATTTGGACTTTAGTCACAGATTAACCCTGTGTAGTCTGATCTCCTGTGTTCAAGGGCTGCTATTGTCAACCTGATATAGTCTGTAATTAACCCACACACACAGGCTATAAATGCACACTAGGCTATACACACTCACATCACAGATACACCTGGATCACACATCCCCAGCACCCCAGGGTATGAAGTCATCCAGTCGGGGTGAAGACACCCAGTACCAGCTTTCTTGTACAGTAAGTCATCCCTGCAGGTGAAGCCCACTGTGCTCAGTTCTCACATATCTTTGTCACTTCAACCTTGTATTTACGAGATTTCACAGACAAATGTGAGTTCAAACATTCACACCCGATGACACTCGGTGACACATACAAAGATTCATACAGGCATGACTGTGCTGACACACACACGCACATCCTGCCTGTGAACTGTCCCAAACAAACACCAGATGGCTTTTCTGTTCCTGGATTGGGAGGCCTGTCAGTGCTGCTGGGGGACAGAGGAAGGGGAGGTGGGGGGTGATGGTGGGGGTGGTGGGGTGGAAGTCGGCCCGCTGGAGGCCCCCACTTGGCCAAGAGGATTACCAGCCTGCGCCTTGCTTCGCGTCCCCTCTCTGTGCATCAGAAGTCACTTTCACTGGGATGGGGGGCTGTGAATCAGTTTTCCCAATGAAAACGTGACATGTATTGTTCACAGTAGAGTGGAGGAGACCACACACCGTCACAATACAGCTCTTATCTACAGTGTAGGTTGGATAATGGAGAGTTTTTTTTATTTATTTTTATATTGCATAATAATCATGAATCATGTGGTTAAATGGGAGGCAGTTTGAGGTGGTGAAGAAAACATCTCGGGTGTTAGGAAAGAGTAGGTTTTGGTTTATGTGGTGTGTGTCTCTGTGGATCATTGGCACAAATCACAAAGGAACTTGTGATATTTAATCTAATGCTATTATCAGAATCATTGGTGACATAAAGCTGATAATTCTGCAATATGAGACATGTTGCATCCCTGTTTTTTAAGCAAGATTCTCCGACTCTATCCCCTCAAACGTGAATATCATCTGGTGTAGAGTCTTTCTTGACAGTGGACTGAACATCTTTGGGGCTATGGAAACTACAATGAATTTATATTTCCTGATAATGAAAATAATCATTAGTTGCAGCCATAAAATCATCAGCTGTGAGTCACACTATCAAAGGGAAAATGTACCTTTTATGTTTCTCAAAAGCAAGAACCAGTCACATTATTTTCATTCACTAGACTAAAAAGTTTTCAGTTTAAAGTGTTACGCGACTCGAATTAAGCTGCAGTATGGCACGAATCTTAAGCTGTATTTAACACTTACTGTAACCTGTGCACATGTGCCATCTTAATATTCTCTAAAACCGTCATATCACCCTACTTAAAGGCTGTTCTGTCTCAAGTTAGGATACAGTTAAGCTCCAGTAATGCAATATCGGTGCTATGTATTAATTTCACATCACAACAGAATGTATGGCAATATATTATGTCAATTATTTATCGTTCTCCCAGAAGCATGCACAGGCACAAACATCTGTGTTAAGTGAGATGTGCTTGTGTGCGTCTTTTATATCTGATCAGCTGTCAGATTTTTGTGTCAGCTGGCACATGTGTTTGCATTTGCATTTGTTTGTTTAAAAAAAAAAAAAAAAAAAATCATAAAAAAAAGGTGGATGGCAGCTGTGTGAGACGGAGGTGCCACTTACACAATTTTGGCAGGCAAATCTTAGATCGGTGTTATTTATGCTGCTGAGTTTGCAACCAGGTGTGAGTGAGCGTGCGTGTGGTTATTTGTGGCATCGGGGTATATGATATAAGGCATATAAAAAGAGTTGCCTGAAGGCTGTTTATTAGTTTTACAAACAGGATGTCATCCTTCTCCCCCACAGAGAGTGAGAAAGATGTCATGCATTCGGTGTGGTGTACCGGTGTGGGCTTTTTTTTTTTTTGGGTTATGCTTCTTCTTGTGTAAGAGTGCGTTTTGAAACGGGGCGCCAACGTAAAGTACCCAAGACATCCCAGTTTATATAAGTAAATTGAAACTGTAATATGTGTGAGGCTGGCTGGTTTAACTGTGAAATGCCTGAGTGCTTTCCATTTACTGGGCTGACAGGAGAGCAGCCTGCACTCACCCGGCTTCTGATGAGCTGCCACTAGTCCGGTTTATCAGCTGGTCTCAGAGCAGCTTCACATTGTACAGAGGAAAATCTTATGAGCTTATGTTTGACAAGATGCACATTCTGCCACCTGCAGTTACTCATGCATCTGTCATAATGTGATGTTTTTCATATATATATATATCTTGATTAGCTCTGCCAGCTCAGTAGGACAGGTGCTGTTTTCACCCTGTTGATCCAATATCTGAACATGTTACGAATGAATTTGCGCAAAAGTACATGAGAGGGTTGGTTGTGGAGATAGGAAGAGAATTGGACATTTTTTGATATGCTTAAAAGTGGGGTGTGGCAGTGGGTGGGGCCTTGTAACACTACTTAACACTTAACACTGCTTGAACTTAACACTACAACACTGCCTATAATTTTCTAAACCCTGCTGTCGCATGTCAGCTTTTCATTCATATCTCTAGTGTATGAAATTATATTGGCAAAGTTTAAGCATGACTCTTGTGTGGATTCATGTTTTTTTTTATATTATTTCAAATCAATCTGCAGTTAAAAAGCATTACGACACAACAACAATTAAACCTCACTGAAAGTGAAATTTAAAAAAAAAAAAAAATACACTGCAGATTTGATGGAAGACACAACTCACTCCATTGAGAAATACATGAAGAGCAAGGACTACCTGGAGAGTAAAAAAGCTACATTCAAAAAGTTGATACACACACTTTGGAAAATGGTCAGCAGTAATATAAAATATACATACTTTTTAGTCAAGTAAACCTTGCATAAACCCTGATGTTCTTTAAGCATCTTATTTCTCCTTCATCCACCTCCATTCCTTTTCACTCTGCCTGTGTGGGTAGATGTTTTCTTGTTTCTTTTATCTTTTAGTGAGATTTTTGATGCTATTTTTTGATCAGCTGTTTCAACTCGGAGGAGAATGTGAAACAATAGTATGTTATCCTGGCTCATTACAGTGTTATTGATTGAAAAGAGAAAAGTTTTAAGTAGTTGTCAAACTTTGTGCTTATCAGCAGACAGAGTATAAAGCCAGCCTTGCATAATTGCCCCAATCAAACAACATAAAGGTACTTAAGAGCTCATTTCCATTTGAGGCACAACTGCTGTGCTTTTTTTTTTTCTCGAAACCTTTGCACAACGTAGGAAGGGCAGCACTTATTGCCACTTAGATTTGATTGTCCATGTGGTGCTGTGACAATTGTCACAAATGCATAGTTAGTGTCACAAATGCATAGAGTGGTTAGGATTTGAATCATCCAATTTTCCATTTCAGACAAACTCATTAAAATGTGTGCATTGCATAATGTGAAACAAGATTATGATTAATGGTGAAAGAAATTAGAAATCTGGTGTATGGAATTTACTCATCTAGATAACTGCATAGAGCTTCACTAAATGCCGTCTGGGTTTTCGATATTATGATGTAAAGAAAAGAATTTCTCCTTGTTTAATCACATCATATTAACCAAAACATTTAACTGCATGGAGGTTGAAAAGAGGAGAAGCACATGCTTTTAAAATAAGTTAAATACACATCTCATAATTATTTCTTTTCAACCTTTAATGGTCATGGGAATGTTGAGGTCAGCTCGGAGGCATTTCAAACTTTGTTAGAATTCAAAGTTTGCACTGCCACTCCCTGATGCCCACCCCAGCCTCTCCTCTGTCCCAAATAAGAATGACAGCTGGAAGGGCCCCCGACCTGAAATGACAGGGATTTGAAGTTGTGTGTGTGGTCAACCCATGTGTCTCCTCGCTGTGCATCTCGAGTCAGCTGTTGCCACACTGGGAATGCTTTCCATGTGTTTGTAAGCCTCAGCTGACACGAGAGAGAGCGTGCTGTCTAGACAGTGAAGCGAAACGCAGTAACTCACCGTCTAGCTGTTTAGTGTAGCTGTTCTTTGTATATGCAACGTTGGAAAAGTTTGGTGTGCGCGCGCGCGCATGTGATTGTCCCAAGTTTTGTCTCTCATTATTTTTGTCTGTTGTTGTCACCAGAAACAGAGGACCTACTTCTCTCTGTTCGGGGAAATATGGGCCTGTGCAGCTGTCTGACTGCGGTGCTGTTTGCTCCCCTTGTTATTTTCTGTGCCTGCTATATTCTGTAGTTGCACGCAGGCTTGTTTGCATGATAAGCATTAGACCCACGTCTTTGTGTATACCCATGACAAGATGCCTTTTTTTTTTTTTTTTTTGCTATTGTCTTTTTCATATCATAACATCGTTGACTCAACTGACAAAATAAAAAAAAAAAAACAATAGAAAAGCAGAAGGAAGACTGACAGCTTGGCTATCAACCACCAACTGTGTGGTAAGATTCCAGTAAATATTCATTAAAATTGGGAGGCATAATGAAAACACAGGCCATCTGTAGGTCAGTTTTCTGCTGTTTGTGAAGACTGAGATGTCTTGTTAGTCATGGATCAATAGGACCAGGTATGAGGGCTGGGCGATTGTGCTTAAATGCGTGTGTTTTTTGTGCTTGTGGACAAGTTAAATGCTGGTTACTAGTGTGTACTACCTAAAG